ATTGAAATGGTAATTATAATTCATGATTATGTGATAACGTTTAGCGCAAAACCTTTCAAAAATATTATGAAGGGTTTCAGGAACATAATAGCATAGTTGCTTACCTTCTGAAGTTGTTGTGACAAGATGTCAACGGAGAAATACACAAAGACCACTTAAGATCTCTTTCACAAAAAAAAAAAAAAACTATTAAGTTTGTCGACTAAAACTTTTTCAGACGTTTCGCTTGAACAATCTTGCACAAAAAGAAATGGGTGTTGCATTCATGCTCAGTTTATAAACACGCTACATTGAAAACAATAATTGTGGTAAACAGAAGTTTGGACAAAGATGTTTTGAAATGATGCCGTCAGCGACAGTTCAGCTTTTGACAGGTCTATCTTTTATTTCCCTTTTAATTACCTCCCTGCTTCCTCGACTTTTTTATCGGCTTCAGTTGTAGAATGTTATTCTCTAAAAGGACGCTAAAACCCTGCAGACAGTTAACTGATGAATTCCACCCCTGTTAGGAAAACGGAAAATAAAACATAGCAGAGTATTCATGCTTTTCATCGATCCCATGACAAATATGGCATCAGTCAGCGATGTCAATAGTTTTATTTTTCAAAGAAATCGCTGCGCATAGTTTTAAAATTATAAATCTACATCATGAAGAACAGATTGATTCAGTTTCATGGTTCCTCGTCGTTTAATTCACTGTCGCAAAATATACCTTTTTATCAATCCACTACTACGCCACTTAAGCCATATTTGGGCAAGGGAATAGGCGAATTCCCCACAGTATTGCATTGTGCAACAGCGCAAAAATACGGACGGAAAGCTGAACAACAAAAAGGTTTCACACAACCAACCGAAATTGTTGCTGTTGTGGTTTTTTTTTTTTTGTTCGTTTTTCAAGCAACAACTCTAAGCACAACATACTTTTTTCTGATGGTCGTAAAGAATACTTTATTGGTTTCTCAACGGCACTCTCTTGACTGGAATAATACCGCGCTACTTGCAAATCCAACCGGAAATAGGATGATATTTTCGGTGGCCTCTATTGGGCTCTCTCATTCAAACAAACTGAACTCTGGTAACGTGTGTTCTCAAGTTTTATAATACTAGAAAATAACAAAGGTGATGAAAATAAACAAATAGATTAAAAAAAGAAGAGATATGTTTTAACTTTTTTTACAAATGTAGTTTTTAGTTTTGTTCAGACACAAAATGATTTGGAAACAGTTGACCACAATAAAACAGTTTTTTTTTAAATTAGAATGGTAGTTGTAATTCACGATTCTTGTCCTTAATCGACGTTTAGTGCAAAACCTTTCAGAAATATTATGAAGGGTTTCAGGAACATAATAGCATAGTTACCTACCTTCAATTCTGAAGTTGGTGTGACAAGATGTCACTCGAAAAATGCACAAAAAAACTATGTAAGATCTCTTTCGCGAGAAACGAATTAAGTTCGTCGACTAAAACTTATTCGGACGTTTTGCTTGACCAATCTTGCACCAAAAGAAATGGGAGTTGCATTTGAGCTTATTATATAAACACGCTACATAAAAAAACAATAACTGTGGTAAGCTGAAGGCAAGTTTGGACAAAGGTTTTTTAAAATGAATGCCGTCAGCGACAGTTCAGCTTTTGACGGGTCTACCTTTTATTTTCCTTTAAATTAACTCCCTGCTTCCTCGACTTTTTTTTCGGCTTCAATTGTAGAATGTTATTCTCTAAACGGATGCCAAAACCCTGCAGACAGTTAATTAATAAATTCCACCCCAGTTAGAAAAAGAGAAAATGAAACATAGTGCTGTATTCATGTTTTTCATCGATCTCGTGACATATATGGCATTAAACATCGATGTCAAAAGTTTTTTTTTTCAAAGAATTCGGTACGCATAGTTTCAAAATTATAAATCTAGATAAAGAACAGATTGATTCAGTTTAAGAATTCCTCGCCGTTTAATTCATTGTTGCTAAACATACCTTTTTATCACTCCACTCCGCAATGATGTCTGTCAAGAATAGCCGAGCTTGACAAAGACACCCAGGAACTAGTAAAGGATAATAATTATATAAGTTAACGGTGGATGCGTTAACTTTCAGTCAAAAGAAAGAGTCCAGACAAAGAGCGGTCTCCTGATATAAATTGGTGGGAATTTAATTTTTCGTGCCCTCCTGGGTAGTGTATACCTGAGGATTAATTGTTAATCTCTTCTATACCCTCTTGGGTAGTTTATACCTGAGGGTTATTTTTTAATCTCTTGCATATCCTCTTGGATAGTTGCTTGGAATATCAAGATGAAATATTTTACGAATTCTCCCAACCTCCCTTGCGTTTCGATGATGCTATGTTAACAAGAAATAAAGTCTTCAATGGTGAAATTTTGATGTGTGGAATGAAAAGAATGATCTGGTTATAGGCACAAGATAGTCGAGACCGTTTGAAAGAAGATGCTTTTTTCATTGCTTATCAAATCGTTTTATTAAATGGCTGGGGAAGAATAAAAGGCGATAATTAGCATACGTATTGAATCGAAAGATAAATTTGAATACTCCGTGTTGACGTGTCAGATGATATTTTAAACCTTAGGCTATGCATTTTACTTGGCACGATAATGACGCTCTTACACCATGCTGTAAAATTGATTAAGATCAGTTTCGATACGAAGCTAAACGATCCGGAACAGTTAGCCACATTTACATAAAAAAATATGCGATTTTAAAACCGAAGTGGTCGTTTTGATTCATTATGACTGCTTCCTAATTGACGTTCGGTACAGCACCTTCGATCAGAAGTAATGTGTAGGGTCTCAGGGACACAGTAACCTAGTTACTAACCTTCTTAAGTTATTGTGACGAGAAATCACGCTGAAAATACATGTACATGTATGATCTCAACTGCGGAGAACGAAGTTCGTCGTTTAATACGAAAGTCATACATTTCATACATGAAAATTACAAAAAAAAAAATGTGCAGAAGAAAGAGGAGTATAGCTCGAGCAATTGCTTCACAGACGATAGCTATCGCCGAACTTGACTCATAAAATAGTCCTTAAGAGTTAAAAAAATCGACTAAGTAATGCTACATGATCTGCACTATTACGAAAGGAGAAATTAGTAAATTTTTTTCTCGTCGCAGTTCTCTTTTCGTTTTATATTAATCTTTCCGCACCTGGTCCAAAAATGCTTTAGACTTATTGGTGCGTTTATAAAGGAAAAATAAATTTTATTTACGTCAACAAGTAACGATCAAGTGTTTTGATGTGCATTGGCCTCCTACAAAGGGGTTTGAAAATACACCGACACATCTGAAGCAGAAGAGATGCCACCAAGTCCCGAACCAAAACAAACAGTGACAGCTGCTAACGGAATCTCACGTTGAATAATGCGATGAAAGGGCTTCAATCAGGTAAAAATGATCGCCGCCGGATGTTCGCTGAGTAAGTAGAAGCCTTACTACAACGCATTTAAAATTAGTAGTAAATGCTATGATGAAGAAATTGAGGTAGCGGGACAGGCAGCGGCCCATGCCAAGATTAAACCTAAAAAGGATATGTCAATTGGAGTCTATTCAGCTTCTTGATAACAAAACACGTTTAAATTGAGAACAAATGAATGAATACGTAAGGCATAAAGTAAAAACTTATGCACGCGATGTGTGTAAGTGTGTTTTAAAATTTTATTTTAGTTTCAATACGATGCAAAATGATTTGAAAGAATTTGACACGATGACTTATATAATGATAATTATGCAGTTTTAAAAATGAAATCGTCATTGTTACCCATAATTAGTGTTCTGTCCTGACGATCTCAACACAGTTTTAGCACCGATATTTGGCTTCAAAGAAACACAAAAGCTCAGTCACTATCCTCTGAGGCTACCCTCACAGGATGTCACTGGGGAAATACAAAGAAATCTATTGAGCGCCAAACGAAATTCGTCGTTCGATAAATAAAATACGAAAGAAATTTCACCAGACGAAATGAAAAGTATTTTGCGAAACGAAAAGGAAGTTTCATTCGAGCTCATTTATAGAATCATGCTTCTAAGAAAACATTGAGTGTGATATACAGAAGAAAGTTTTGCAAGGGGAACAACGAATATCTTGCGCTGTAGATATAGACATGTGGCAGGTTTGTTGATTAGTTTTCTTTTTGATTAAGCGCCTTCTTCCTCTAGTTTTATTTATTATTTTTTTAATTACTTTTTTTGCTTTGTAAAACGGGTTTTTCCAAAGCGGACACAAAGACCTCGTAGAAATAAACAAACCTACTTAAAAAAAGAAAAAAATATGTATTACAATGTTTATATTCTGCATCGATCTCATGGCTGCAAGAGTGTGCCATCATTCGTCGAATGCGATAATTTTATTTTATTTTTCAATGAATTTTTAACGTACGGCGTCAAAATCTTTAATTGATAAACTTCGGATTCAGTTAAGCTTAAACACGTTTGGTTAATCTTCTAATCTATCGAGACTGTTTTGGGGCGAAACTGGCTCTGATGCACTCTAATTCTCACTACAATTTAATTGAACCACTTTGAGGCCGGACTTTTTTTTTTTTTTTTCAGGCTTCTCTTATCGCAATTTCTTTGTATAGGCTAGACATCAGAGGATCCTTTCAACATTTTGAGCCTCGCTGAATTACAAGACTATAAGCAGTAAAGTTTATTTCTTTTTCTCAACGACGCAAAAAATATTAAATAACTTTTGAATCAGCGCCTAGGCAAACAATAGAATAACATCACAGTTTATTATACAGCCCGCAGCGCCCATAGATAAGACAAAGCGAATCCTGTTCTCTAATTGGCTACCCTAGCAGGAGAGATGAGCCTGTCTTGCCAGACTTGTAAGAGTCCATCCGCTCACTTTAATCAATTTATTAGTAATGGTTTGACTTGAAATCGAGAACCCTTTTTTCCATTTGTTTGAAATGATATTATTGCTACAAAAAGTCAATGCACATGTTTAATTTATTTCTCTTCTGCAGTAGTTGTCGCTCTAATGATGCATTGGGAAGGAACAGGTGAGACAACGCCATTTCAACTTGAACATATATGTAGCTAAACCAGAACTTAAAGAAGGGGAAATTCCGACTTATTTATAAGAATTATTAGTTATTGACTGCCAATTGAAAGTACATTAATCGGCTTGTGATTCTAAACGCAAGATTGAACAAAATATCAAAGATAAAGAATAACATGACTATCACCCAGATCTCCCCAATTTTCATTCTTAAAGCCGAGATTCATTTCAATGTTTCCTTTAGGGAGGTAAGATGGTAATGCTCATTTTTTTATGAATAATATTGTTAATATGATAATCAATAGTCTTCTAGATATTTTGGTGTATTTATTTATTTATTTGTCGTAGAATGCCAGGATACATGTTTTAATAATTCCTGGTACATATTTTCGAAATGGGGAGAAAGTTGGGAGAAGAACAGGCAAGCCTGCAAAGATCAGGGAGGTGACCTTGTTTCTATTGAAAGCGAAGAAGAATGGCACTTTATCAATGATGAAATTCAAAAACGTTCCTCTTGGAATACTAGTGCGTGGCACATTGGTTTATGCAAGAAAGACACAGTTTGGCGAGACATTGTTGCAACACTTAGTGGATATCATGCGGAAATAACCAAGAGTGGGAGCCTTAACAGTATCACTAACAAAGATAGCAGGGCCTTCATTTGTGAAATGCCGCAAGGTAAATAAAAATTCAAATGATAAAGTACATTGCATGCTGACACGTGCCTTCCTAGAACTGATCTGATGAACATTTCTCTTGTAGATCAACTTTTCAAGAATTAAGATACTGCTTGCATAATATGCACAACTTAACGCGACTTTTACGTGTGCAGGCTACGAATAAGTTTATGATGAACACATAAGCAATTAAAAGTTATGATAATCTATATTGCATCTAGATTCATTTTTTGTTTGGCTTTTCAGACGGGTAACGAGGGTAATGCACGCTTTTAGTTATTCTTGACCCTAACAATGAAAAACAAAACAAAACAAAAAAGTTTAAAAAAATATAACAAAATAAAAAACAAAACAAAAAAATATATAAAACAAAAGGAAAAACAAAAAACCAAACAAAAAACATAACAAAAAATAAAAACAAAAAATAAAAACAAAACAAAACAAAATTAAGTAAACAAAACAAAACTAGAAAAAAAACTAAAAAGAATATTAGTGACATGAACTAAAAAATAGTCTAAGCTGATTTAGGATGAAATAACTCAAAACATTAGATCAGATATCGCGAACGCTGTAATGAAGAATAAAGTATTAGACCCCGTCCACTCTAATTCGTTTTCGAAACGCTCCGCTTTTGTCTTATCAAAAATGTATTGTTTTCTATGGGTCCACGCCAGCCGTTTCATAGCGTTTTTGACGTACTTGTTCGTCAAAATGTGCATGCTTGATTAAACGCAATATCAAGCTCTAATTAAACATCAAAAACATATCCTTATGCTCGTCTGCCATATTTATTTTGAATTTAAGACGGGAGGCCTGAAAAAGAGGTTTGTATGACACTATGACGTCGTTGTCTTCAGAAAAACTGTTTTTGACTGTCCACACTAAAACGATATGATATGCCTGCATGCAGTTTCAAATGAACGAACGGAAGGCCAAAACGCATCGCAAAGTATCTGTTTTCAAACGAAAACGCATAAGTGTGGATGGGTTTTTAAATGACACTGATCAACAAACGCTGCAAATATTATAATAAAAATGATAATGCCAATTATCATATAAACTACGATGTTAAGCAAGGATTTCCGGTTCTGAGAAAAGTCTTAACAATGCACGTGAAAAATACAACATTTTTTAAGTGTGTTTGATATCGCTAGTCAGCTGTTGACACGTCACTCGCCTTTGGCACCACTCGGTCAGGTTGACGAATGAACGGCAAAGCCTTCGCCACTCTTAATCCATGGTCATTCGTCGGAGTTTTTCCGGATTATGGCTTCTAAAACGCTGTAAATTCGTATCACTAATGAACAGTGACGTTCAAAATTTACTGGGAATGGGAAGAAAACCAAAATACGCAGAGAAAAACCGAAAGCTAAGTTTTCAGTGGCTTTTGCAAGGGCATTTCTTGCGGCTGAGAACGAAAATAAACAACTAAAACATTTGCCACAGGCCGATTTTCGCAGTGTACCTGAAATATTTCTTTTGTCGGTAAGGACCAAATAACTGTGAATTTTGTATAGAGAAAATTAGGCCCATTGTTTGTTTTTGTAGTGATTCAACGCACGTTTCCATCTTGAGTGCGCCAACGGTCTTTATTGGCAGTGGCGATTCTTTTATTTTCATCTATTAATAAAGTAGTTTTTTCTTCTCAGTAAAGGGCTATCGTGTTTATAAACAAAATAATACATGGTTGCTTGTAGACATGAAGTTTCTATTCTCGTGTTCAACTCGACATCGCACTCGTTCGCTGTGCTCACCCGTGAGCTATCGATTTAAACACTCGAAGAGAAATCCCACATCTACGCACGCCCATGTATTATTCTCTATTTATAATAGCAAAGAGAAATTGATAATGATGATGATAACGCCAATAATTATAATAATAATAAAGACACGCCGATCCACCGGCCAGTTTATTTGTATCCTTGACTGCCCCTTGAATTTGCTTCTTTTTTACCATCATCGTAGTCATTATTAATAGCATTATCGTTGTTTTTATTTCATAGAATGCCCAAACATTTCTTTTCAAAACTCTTGGTATGTATTTACGGAAAAAGGGGCAGAATGGGATAGGAACAGAGACATCTGCCTAAGTCAAGGAGGAGACCTAGTTTCCATTCAAACCGAAGAAGAATGGAATTTTATCAACGACCAGATTCAAAATTGCAGCAATGAGTCCAACTGCCCATGTGATTATGCTGGTCACCATTATGGTAATTGTGATATATGGTACATTGGCTTAGAAAGAAAAGGTGAACATGTCTAAATGGATAGAAAGTTCAAAGTGTGGGGGAACTGTGGCTTACATATGTAAGCAGTCTATTGATGGCGAACAGTGCCAATTTTCTGACATCCATGGATCTAAGAAGTTGGCTTATATTTGCGAAATTCCTAAAGGTAAGACAAAGTTACTCTTTATTTCAAATACTGAATTAAGTGGAGCTTCATACAATCAGGATAAAATTTTCATGTAGACAAACACATTACGATACATATGCCTCACTTTTAATCGGCAGCAGGCGCATGATTTTTGACAGTTTTAGCGCTTTACCATCACTATGACGCCGTATCAATAACGTAATAGGACTGAGTGGAGTTCTGTAATCATACGATTGATAGCAAAATCAAGCGACCGCTTCAATTAAAACTAATTAATAAAAAAAAAATACAATTTCCGAGAAAGAAACAAATATTGTCCTTGTCCTTATAGTAATCTGATTCAAGTTAACCTCAAAGAATTATCTCGTTGCAGTGCTGTTATCTCAATGACATTGCTACTGTTGCTACTTTTAGTTTCTTAAGAACAAGGAGAATGGATGGCTCGTGGGATGGGTTTTCGGAAACTTAGGTTAGGAGAATACACGGCCGCTTCGAGCTTGTGTTTATGCCAACATTCGCCAGAGGTTTCGCACTGTTCACGCAACAGGATATCGGTGAACTCAGGAAAGGGCTTGAACTTTATTACAAACAATCTACTTCTGTTATTAAAATAGGATGGAAACTACAATTGGTTCGATTTTCATATGATAAGAAAAGCGCAAATGTAGTCACGCGGAAATACAAGGAATATAAGTACATTTGTAGCGCGTGAAATAAACAACAATAAGGAGCCCAACATTCTTCGGTTGCGAAACGCCAGCCGAAAAGAATGTTGAACAATCGTTTCTGCTGTGTGGGAACAGGGAACAGGCACCCTTAATAGACATTATTTTTAGCAAAATTCATTCGTTATCTTCCCCTGGTTTTACTAGTGGTATATGTTCGTAACAG